TGTGAGTCTAAGAATTGGTACAAATCTTTATAGCGAATACAGACGACAAATGTTTCGGCGTACTCGCCTTGTTCAAAGTCTGAAAAGTCGAAAATGCTAGGTCAGTCAGGTCGGAACCGGGTCACTGGTTAACCATAAAAGCAAGGCAGTACAGGTTTTCACATAAGTGGTCTGCATCCACCAAATTTGTCTGCTTAGGTGGGCGCTGGCTTAATCTTGCTTCTGGTTGCTGCTGTTGTTTTCCTAGGAGATTGGGCTCTTTTCTGTAGTCGACGAGATGTTTGATCGGATAGTTTACTTATGCATCTTGGACTTTCCAGACTCTGGAGAAAAAGCGAGTTCGCCGAAAGGTTAAATCGTCTGTATTCTGTGCTGTAAAGATTTATACCAATCTGGACTGCGCTCACACAATGAACGAGAAGATGCAACTATGCCAAAATTTATGAATAGTCGAACGCTCAAAAAACTTACTTCGTTCATGAGGGGTGACCACACATCACTGCTTTCGACCCTAAGCATAACTGCAAACACCACCACAGAGATTATCAGCAAAGACGATCCGGTTGCGAACCATGCATTCAAATAGAGGCTGCGAATTCAGGCAATACACTTGTACCTGATCCGCTATGTATGAGAACGTCAATGTCTTTCTCTTTTTCGAAACTTTTGAATCACTGGATAGGTTTCAAAGAGAAAACGCATGAGGTATGATGGTCTTTGCTGTTGAACTATGCAATATATCTAATGTAGACGCCGAAAATTTTTATGGTTAATTTGTATCAAGAAGATGCTGTTGGAAAACTTATCTGGCCCGGATACGGAGACAATATTCGAATGTTGGAATGGATATTCAATAGGTTGAAAATAATTCCACAAGCAATGTGTTAGCAATATTGTCCAAAAGTCTTTAGATGTGTTGCCCCTGAGAAAGCGACTACATTATCAACGGCCATAGGACTTCTTCCACAAAAATTAAATACAGAGGTATTCCTATTAGGCGTATTTGTTTCTGCATAAAGTGTTGTTGCAGGGACTCAAAGGCGAATTTTCACCTTTATTTGCCGTAGGAAAACAATTTTGGACGAAAGAAATCACACAAATTTACTCGTTCCTTTCTGCAGAAATGGGAAGCAAAATGCTACCCGCCGTTAAAACCGTACTTGATAACCTTATCAATCGCATTGCCACTATGAGTTGAACCACTGATCACGAAGATAATAAATTTGTTTGATTAATTGTATGGCATCGGCTTATTATACCGCAGAAAGCTATGAACACATGGTAACACAGGGATCTTGCTGGGAGAAAAAGTTGTTGTGATTGTTAGAGCTTTGACACAATATATGGTCCCCGAAATAGAAC